GGAGGCGGAAGGCGTTTTACCTTCCGTCTCGATCGTGTCGGATTTTTTGATCACGGCTGACGTGCCCTGCAGCCCGGCGTCGGGACTTTCATCAATCCAGGAGTCGTCAGTTCAACCTTGACATGGCTCGCGAAAAAGGCGGATGAAGCCATTGCGTGGTACGATGCCCCCCATCGCTATTTTCCTGAATCTCATGGTGAGGTCCGACCGCTGCCAGGTATCTCAATGAGCACATTCTAGAAGGATACAAGTTCCTTATGCAGAACTATCGTGAGGGAGACAAAATCTGTCTGTTTGGTGTGTGGATCCTACGATCCTCTTGCGAAAGTGAAACCAAAGCTTAGCAAACGTGATTGCCGCCGCCCTGCGGAACCACTCGCGAAATAGGGTTTTCTCGAGGTGCCTACACTGCGCGTGTCGTGGCCGGATTCCTTGCCAAGGTGTGCACTCCCCCTCAAGAGCTAAACTCGGGTATTGATTTCGTGACGCTCTTCGTTCTTTGTAGATTGGGTTGCTACCGCGAGACAACGATGCGCAAGTCCCCCTTGCTTACGGCCTCTTCAAGCGCACGGACGAGGCTGGACACGAGCTTGCCGCCGGATTCAAACGGACGTTTTGCGCACCCGTGACCGTCGATTTCTTGGGAGTATGGTCGGTGGTCAACCTTTCGTTTGTGATAAAGCACTGACGGCCCTCCGCCTCAGGGACACTGTCGCGAGCGTCGGATTTATTCGTAATCGCGCACCTCCGCTCACCTTTGCAAATTCCGCTGTGAAAGTGTCCAGACATGCTCTGTCCTTAGACGAGGTATTCATTCATCAACACAGAACCTGAGGTCTCCCTCACCTAGACTATTCCAGCGTCGAGCGCGATTCCAGCCCAGCCTGTTCCCTCGCGAAGAATCGCAATACGCCACCAACCGCGAGGAATTCAGATCCTACGATCTCGCGAGCACACCCAACGGTATACTTCCAGGAGACCCTAAAGTTTTCAGTCCAGGGAGCGTTGGCTCCGAGCCGACATCAGAGATATTGATGTCGCCCGAACCCGTTATCCCGCCGGTGTTGGAGGTCTGGTTCGCTGGGTGTCATTGTGATGTTGGTGGTGGTGCGGTTGAGGATGTAGCCCCTTACAAGCTTGCGGACATTCCCCTCCGTTGGATGGTCGAACAAGTCATGCGTTCCCAGTGTGGAATCAAGTTCGATGATGCAGCTCTAAGGAGAGTCGGTATAGATGTTTCGTTCGTCGCGCCAGTTGCTCCCACAATACCAACTGTGGGGGAGGAACCAGAGGCTGATGCTGAAGCTGCCCACTCAAGTCCACAGGAGTCACAAATCTCACTCGGAAACGATGACAACGGAGAGTATGTTGTTCAGGACGGAAAACCCAGGAGGGTCAAAGAGCGGACCTGGGACCGAGAGCAGGACGTTGAGACTGATATCAACGATCAGCTGAAAGCAAAACCGGGGTGGTGGCTCTTGGAGTTTCTCCCGATGCGGTTCACGTGGCAGGAGGATGACGGGAAGTGGAAAACCAAGTGGGGGTAGGCATTCATCCTCGAATCCAGCTGATCTCTACTGACCAATGTTAACCCTAGGCTCAATTATGGCAGAGGTCGGGAAATCAGGGGCAAGAGTCCAAATTTCCACGTCTCCGTGCGGCAGAGGATGGCAGAACTCGACTACAAGCCCAGAGCAACATGGAGGGGGGCGGAACGATACGTTCATTGAAACGCGTTTTACAGTGGTTGGTCGGCCTTATCTGTTGATATTACTGGGTATAATTCTACTGTGGGCGAGATATGGCGAAGGCGACACCATCCCACTTCTGTATCACTAGCGAAATTTAGTTCTTCTGTAGTAGAGCATCGTTGAGTACTTCACGGTGATTTTTGCGGATAATCTTTGTGTGTCGATAGCGAACACGGGTCGAAATGGCTGACTATTGCAGAGTGTGGGATTGGGAATCCGTGAGGTCGAGTATCACATGTTATGAACCCCCTCGAGACGAAGAATCGCCTTGGCAGGAACTCTGTTTTTTTCAGCCGATTCGTCGTGATTCCCGTGGGACGATTCTTCCGGGAAACGCATCTCCCGCAGGTCTCCTCCCGTGCATATGTTGTGTGCTGGAGGTATTGGGGGCATTTGAGGGTTCGGCGCCCTTTCGAGACTATGAACACAAGCTGAGGTTTGAACCCAGTATGTATGCGTGCATTCGTTCATTCGGAAAGTGGATCGGGGAGATGAAAATGATATGAAAGAGGTAAGCAGTCGTGAGAATCGGTTGGGGTCCGGAAGTTCACCGCCTTCAATAACTCAGCGCTTCGGCTTCCTTTCCTTCTCTCGTCCAATTCCTATCGCCATCCCTCTTTCTCTCCTCCCCTCGCCGAGCTCGACGCCCACCTTCGTTTGGCTCGAACTCACCCGCCATAAGTCAAAAACGCCAAGTAAGTCAGAAGATTCCACTTGACGATCATGTCTTCGGTAAGACCACACAAACACGTGAAATTCGCGTCAGACGCCCGATGCCTGGAGACTCACATCATTCGTCCCCTTCCGGTCGTTTCTGTAGGCTTCAAATTTCCTGACGAGCGTCCGGTCGGTTCGGTTCGGGTCCAAAGTCCGTGGGATTGCATCTCTATCGACTCCCACGAGGATGCCCCCACCAAACTGGAAAGCCAAAGCTCCGCTGTCCCTGCCTGGTCCAACTTTTGCCGCTCAGGCAAAGTTACAGAAGCTACCGGTACCGGAACTTGAACAGACCTTTAGGAAGCTTAGGGAATCTCTGAAACCGATAGCTCATTCCAGGGAGGAGTACGATGCGACCGTGGCCAAGGTCGACGATTTCGCTAGAGGGCTTGCTCCAAAGCTTCACGAACGTCTGTTGAGGAGGCGCGATGAGACCGATCATTGGCTGGAAGAGTGGTGGGATAACGATGCGTATTTGGCCTACAGAGACTCCGTGGTTGTCAACGTCTCGTACTTTTGTGAGCCCTTGGCCTGATCGCCGCTTGTGGGGCTAATGTTGGGTACCAGATGGTTTCGAGGATCAACCATCCCATTTACCCCAAACTCAAGCATCCCGGGCTGCGAACTTGATCAGAGCGACGATGCTCTTCCGAAAAAAGTTCAAGCTGGGTCAGGTCCCGCCGGAAGGTCCCAAAGGTGATCCTTGGTGTATGGACACTTGGAGGTACGTTTTCAGCCACATCCATTTTAACCTTCAATCCCGATGTTCACCTGTCGTGTTTCTAGGTGGATGTTTGACTGTTGTCGCATTCCCGGCACTGATGGCAAGGACTGGAGCGTGTCCTACGCTAAGGAGGGTGATACCGGAGACACTGGACATGTTGTTCTCATCAGGAAAGGGCGTTTCTGGCGGTTAGATCCGTTCAAAGATGGGAAACTGCTTAGCTCGCAGGATCTAGAGAGGTAAGGCATGGTCTGGTATCGATAAACTCGACCGGGGCTAATTCCTCAACAGACAAATTAGATACGTCTTGGATAGTACCACCCACGAATACCCCGCTATCGGTACGCTTACCGCGTCAAACCGGGACGTATGGGCTAGGGTACGCGTCCCCGTTTTTTGGCTGTACTTATTTGTGCTGATTTTTTTTAAGGATTATGACCACCTACGTTCCGATCCTTACAACGCTAACATCATTGATGACATTCATTCCTCGGCATTCATCGTCTGCCTTGATACCGAAAAACCCTCAAATGTTATCGAGTTCTCTCGTAGTCTATGGCATGGTGCCATCACCCTGACCGATGAGGGCGTTCAGCTCGGTCTCCGTAACCGTTGGGTGGACAAGCCAGTCCAGCTTATCGTCTTTGACAACGCCAAGGCCGGACTCATGGGCGAGCACTCTGTAATGGACGGAACCCCCACAGTAGGTCCCCATATCACCCCAGATAGGAATACACCTCATTTTTCTCTAGGTTACGATGTGCGACCAAGCGGTCAGGATGATCAAGGACCCTTCCTTCGATCATGGCGTTGAGATCTCCAGTGCTGTCCCGGTGGCCCTAGATTTCCGCGTCACCCCTCAAACAGAACAGGCTATCAAGGCTGCCACCGTTGCCGCTTTTGAACTCGTTGATTCACAAGCCATGTCATTCCACCTCACCAAGTACGGGAAAGCTGCGATCAAGAGATTCCAGACCTCCCCGGATTCGTGGGCTCAGATGACCATTCAGCTCGCCTACGCCCGTCTCCTCGAGTCACTCGGCCAGAAGCGTCAAGGTGGCACCTACGAGTCCGCTACGACTCGTAAGTTTTACAAGGGACGAACTGAGGTCATCCGAACAGTCTCTTCCGAGTCGGATGCCTTCGTTGAGTCCATGCTTGACCCGCACGCTCCTTGGAGCGAACGCAAGGATTTGTTCAGAGAGGCGGCTAAGAAGCATATAGAGACTGCCAAGGCCGCTGGCTCCGCTCAAGGCATCGACAGACATCTATTAGGATTGAAGAAGATGATGGAGAAAAATGAGGTCGGAACTGTCGCAATGTTTGACGATCCGGTTTTCAAGAGGAGTCAGCATTGGGCGTTGAGCACCTCTGCGGTCTTCAGTGGTATTTTCGAGGCGTACGGGTGGGGAGAAGTCGTTCCGGACGGGTTCGGAGTGGCTTATATGACTGGATTCGATGGTACGTGCCCCTCGATCGATCGATCTTGGCCTCTGCTGTTCCTCTGGTGCTCATATGACGGTCATTTGCAGATCGTCTCATGTATACCATCACGTCGAGGAAGGAAATGCCGAACAAGCAATTCTGCGAGGAAATCGCGAGAGCTGCTGAGGATCTGTACGAGTTGTTTATGGTGGAGGACGCAAAGATGTAATAGGGTTGGAGGAACAAGCTTGTATCTTGTGTAAAGCGGGGGGATGTTCCTCAAGTAGACTCAAACTGTACCGGAGAACCTCCTCGAAACTGATTTTCGAGGGCCATGACTGAGGGGGTGGAGCCTCCGAGCTTAACATCGTTGAAAGATCGCCCTCACCATAGCTCAGTTGGTAGAGCGTGAGACTGTAATTGGATAATCATCTCAAGGTCACTAGTTCGATCCTGGTTGGTGAGATTTTTTCTTCTTTCACCTTCACATCCAATACGTATACATGGGCATTACATATATTCATCAGCTAGACACAGACGTGAGCAAATAAACTATCGAGATACCAACAAGTGAGCTCTGGGAGATATTCCTGCATAAGATATGGGGCACGGGAGGGGTATAAACAAATAGTATGTATGAGCATGACCCGGGGCGGGACCAGAAGAAACCGAGTCAATAGCAGTTCGGCAAAACTTCGTGGGGATCGACTTCTGTTGCATTGCCTTCTCCATCCGGAGCAGGACAAGACTCTGGTCGCATATCTCAGTTTCTAGAGACCGATACAGTGCGAAGGAAGGGAACAAGACTGAGGGAGACGTACGACGACGTGAAATATCGCTGGGACTCCTCCGAAGAATATCTGACGATACTTGAGATGTCAGATAACTCTGGATCTGTCCGGTCCCTCGCGCGATCGGCATGATAGGGAAATCGCTTACCGCCTCGTCCGTCAGCTTCAGGAGTTGGTAGCGCCGTTATCTGAACTGCGGAGATGACAAGAGACAAGACGACGGCTTGAGAGAGGACCTTCATCTCTGCGCGGCTGGAGAAAACAGGAAATGATCTGGGGGGGGGACCGAAGGAGATAGCATCCCCATCGACCCTCGGAGGATGTTTTATAGCCGACGTAAATGTGGTTCCACGAGGGAACACCATAGGCAACTGAAACCTTGGTTGCATCTCATGAGGGGGGCCCTGCTGTGCAAAATGCACCAACTATGCACCGTGCATCATACCTTAGTTCATCTCCGTCTGAAGTCCATTTAAAAATTGAAAATCAAATTTGGAGAGAGAGACGGCAATTTCAGACCAGGTCAGTAAGGGTTGCGACCTCTAATCTTGAATCACGAATCATCAGGACTGTTTCAGCGAGCGAGCCCCGTGTAAGACTAGATTGGAGGATAAGGGAGCCCATCTCTGAGCTCTAAGCTCATGAGTTGTGGGAAGAGCGACGAAGGTCTCTCTGGGCGTGCCAAGTGATACCACATGTGGTCGCGGCGCAGCATAAGCGCGGCTGGGAGACTTTGAAAGGCTTCCCTTCCAGTCTAGAAGTGGGGAAATGCCCGCAGCATGGGCGTCCACGGGGTAGGGTTGAACTTCAAAGATCATAGCTACCACAACTTCCCCCAAACGTTTGTAGTTCGATGCTCGGTTCCCACCCGCCGTGCCACAAGAATGAACCGATGTGAGAGTGTTTAGAAATGGGGATCAGCTTGGGCGGTGATCCTGAATGATTTGGACGATCGCCGGAAATTTCCGTCATGGAGATCATCTTCTAGCTAGTGCTACTACACGAGCAATAGGAGGAAGTATGGCATCTTGATTCTGGATCTGATGTGGGCCTTGCACACAGAAAGGGATTTGCTGCCGGGGCATGTTCGGCTGATGTTCGAGATGCGCTCAATGCTATTCGGATTCCGCGCCAAGCATATGCCTCTGACATATTTATGCTTGCGGCGCGCCCGCCGCGTGAAAAGTTGGTTCTCGCGGTGAATATCATACATTCAGTGTGCACTAATACCAATGTGCGAAAGTCACAAGATCGGAGATTATATAGATGATGGTATGGGGTTCATGCCGCAAATCACTCCGTGAGAGGTAGGTTCTTTACCCATCTCGTGATCATTTCCTAAAATGAACCCCGTCAGAGCCCGAAAACAGTCAGTGACTAATTTGACGAACGAGGGATTCTGCAGGTTTATCATAGGGTGCCATGTGACCAGCTTCATGGATGGTAACAAAGGTAATGTTTCCAGCGGTTGACCCATCGCCTCCAACGGTTCTCACCGTGCCTGCGACTTCCCCAGTCGACCTGGCCCTCCAAGCGAGGGTAGGGACCTGGGAGTACTCCCCGCGGAAGATGCTAGGGAGTTTCTCGACCCATCGCGACTGACCCAAGGCGTTACAAGCAGCGTCTGCGTGAAGGTGAGCCAACAGACTAAAGCGCCTGAGAATACTGCCCCTACCCGTGTCCCCGGCATACACCAAAAGCCTGATGCCGTCGTTGACTAAGTCCGTGAGGAGTCCAGCAGAATAATGCATCAAATCGCCCGAAGAGAGGAAATCCTTGTAAACCTTTGGGCTGGTGCTTGTAAAGTTTATTGCAGGGTTTGCTCCCAACTCCTTTTTAACGTCCACGCCGTTCAGCCAGACCGGTAGCCACTCCATCTCCTTGTAGCATAGAGGACCGTCTTTGTCCGGGGATCTGTCGCATGACTTGCGGACGTCGTACATGTTGATTGGGAACTCTAAACACAAGGTGTGAATTGGTGGGTTTGGCGCTCCCTCTGCATCAAGATAATGGCATGAGCCTACTCTCAAATCCCGTGATGAAACTATCCCAGCAGTATTTCTCCGCGCTGCTGCAGACAAATCTTGTTCCGAAGGTATAACACGCTTGCGTCCACTTGGAGCATATTTGGGCCTTACGCCGCCAAATCCTGCATTGCGGATCGTTCGGATCCTCAAAGATCGCATACGGCCCCTCGCACAACCATTCTCCGAACGTGGTGAATTGGATGTATGGATCGGAAAACCCGTTCGCGAGGATCACCGAGGCAAGGTTGAGTTTCCTCAGCCCTGGGATTGGTTGGGCGTCGAGGGCCTTGTTGTGCTTGTAAACCACCGCAGCTGAGTTTGGAATATAAGTTCCCCCGTAGCTCTCTCCGGCCATGTGGAAGTTTGAATCGGAGTATTTCGGGAATCGAGAGAAGAAGAGTTGGAAGAAGGCGTACATGTCTTCGCCTGCCTGCCAACTCCTGTCAACTTTTGGTCCACCTGCGTCTTCGTAGGAGAACCCAACGCCGACAGGTTGATCAACGAAAAGGATGTTGAAATTTTCGTTCCAGCTATAGGGGTTCCGCGTAACGTTCTTTCCTTCGTTCGCGATACGACAAGGTCCAAGCTCAAATAACAACCCGATAAATGACGAGCCTCCAGGTCCACCTGGGAGCGGACGGTGCTTTTGCGTAAGATGGTTTGGCGTGATCATGTTAGAGTAACCTCAGTGCGTACCATTTGTCCAGTACACGAAGTCAGAGGTTTCTGGAGAGTTTCTCGATTCAAAGAACCTAGACACGGGGTTATAGATGATTCGAAACACGGGTTTTAGCGAGACTCGCCAGAAGAAGAGGTGTTTTCCGCCGACAATATCAAAGTAACCAGAGTATTGTTTCACACCAGAGTCACAGATTTTGGGTTCCGCGATACGGAGGCGATGGTCATTGAACGCGGGGTGTGTGACCACCTCATCTGGCAAATAAGTGAGTGGGCCAATGATGTCAGAGTTTCAGCTGCTTGCTAGACTTACAGGTCAACCCATCGCAGTGAATAAAATCCCGGTCGTTCTGTGTCCAGTGCGTCGTGTTGTCTCCAATCTTGTCGATCGCAGGCGAAATGGATTCTCCTTGAGTGGTTTTGAATGGGGTTTGACCGTCGTAAACCGGAGAAGCAGTGGTTGCAAAGACCGCTGCTAATACGACCAGAAGTAACTTTCTCACCATCACGCTGGAGGTGTGGGGATTGTAAGACCTCGTGTGTCCTAGACGGCAGTGGACGACGTGTCAATGATGTGTATATGTATCGTTTACCACACGCCACTTGATGCGCAGCTAGTCAGGAGCGATGACCGTTCCGCAGCGGGTGGTGGTGATTGAAGGTGGTTGGTAAACTATAGTACGCAGCCCATTGAAGTGGACGGATGTCAATCACGATCATCGCGTCTAGATACTACTTACGTCGGAATTGGACGGATCAAAACGGGCCTGGGCATGGCATTGCATGGCACCAGAACCTCTGCCGTCTGGAGAAGCTTGGGAGCTATAGACCAGCGAACGCAGTGGGTCGGTGGATTGCGAGGGACGCCTCCACCAGCACCTGCTGAGCACCTGGTTGTTCCTCTCGTTGAAATCCTGCTCGTTTCTCCTTGGATGTCCAGAATACCCCGCATGCAGTTGTCGGTTGCAGGGTTCTGTGATTCATTTCGGCACCCTGGCTCTGCTTTGACATCCAATATCCATCAACTATCCCCTCTTGCACCGAATGATGGTGCCTTCAGCCCACTCATCTCTCCATACCCTCAACCTCGGGTTCCCATAGCCTGTCTGGCGTAGGCCACAACTCACGGTTGACCCGCGATGGAGAGACAACCAACAGATTGTGCGTCAAGCCAACCGCTGTCCCCTGCGTACAACTTTTCATAGCAGAGTTTTCCCCTATCACTTTTAGCTCTGAGACCAATGTGTCGAAAGCATCTCTTCAAGCCGTCTCGGGACAAGTCAAAACCATCGCGCCGAGTCTTCTGGGAAAATTCGGCGCGTGGCCCCACGGACCCGACCGTCACGATGACGAGAGATACGATGAATATTTGTATGCCGCATCGGTGTTTGTGAGGATTTCCTCGTACTCACATTGAGCTTCATGTGAGTTCTGTCGGTCCGAAAGAACAGGCCGGTTAGTCCGCTGCGCTAAAATCTACCTCTATCGTTGACGTTCAAAACCAGGTCGGACGGGGTGGTTTCCGAGAAATGGACCATGCCCGACTTAAGATTGTCGCTAGTGCCGCGCTCGAGAAGGCCCCAACTGGCGCAGATGCTGTATTTCCTCAATGGAGTGGCCCAGATCCAACCACCGTCCGCGTCCAAGCCATACTCGAGCTTGTATACTTCCCACCTTGCTGCTTTCCTTGCGACGCTGAGGAACCGCACGTTCAATCGCTATACGCCATAGACCTTTGGTTGAACGCGGCCGAGAATAGAAGCGTAAGAGAGCCACGGTATGGGAACCTGAAAGTTCGGCCTTGCGATACAACGCCTTTGGTACCCCTCATGCTGCAAGCCACTTTCCTTCTCGGCTATGCTCTCAGACCACCCCCACTTCATAAACACGTTGCTAGTGTTGCCATTTATATCACGTCATTTGGTCTTCCATCTTCTCGTCGGCTCCGCAGCCACCTTTTTCTGCAACCA